TACGAGTCTTTGAATTGCTACGTACGTATGCCAGGCCAACAATTTTTCTTGGCATAACATGGGTCGCGCAATCGCAGTACGTTTTCTCCTATCCCCTAGTAACGCGGCTGTTGGTTGGTCGTGTGTGTAGTCTCATTCTCACACTCACGTTTGTTTTGATTCCATATTGTGCACCAGAAAAGATTCTGGACTATTTTCATGCAGAACAAACAAATTATACTAGACAAGGGTAAATACACTTTTTACACTATTGGTTGTTTTCTTATAATTTACATGGGCTGTAATTTAGCCCAGTTCGTGAAATGGCCATCCAAACTAACCTAAATCAACCCAACCCAACCCAACCCAACTTAATTTAACATTTTAACTCAACACAAGCTTACCTAATATAACCTAGCTCACTTAAATTATGTTAGTTGAGTTAGGCTAGGTAATTTCGCCTAGTTCATTTAATGTACTCTAATCTAACCTAGGTAAAGTTGGGTTGGCTTAAATTAGGTTAAGTTAGGCTAGTGTAGATATAGATATGCTATAAGTAAGGCCATTCCCCCCCCCCCAAAAAAAAATAATAATTGTCCGATTTTCATTGCCTGTGTAGGGCTGAGTTGTGGCGAGGGGTTGGCAACGCAGCCTCGTTCATTTCCTTACTGAATCTATACTAACGCCCGGCCAATTGGAGTGTCATCATTGGTATGCAACGTCTGTGACTACTTTCGTTCGACGTCACCATCCCATGGTCTGGGTATACCTCCCTTTCACCCGTCCCACAACTGCTCTACGAAAACATTAAACACCCACAGTGACATTGCGCAACACAGTTACTGGAAGTCGTCAGTCAATCAGTCATCCTTACCACCCCCTTTACTTTCCCACAACTTTGTTATAAACATTTACTGATTGTCCATGTACTGGAGCAGACTTCATAGGAGTCCAAATTATCGAAGTTATATTGTTTACATAAAATAAAGAACACTTATTGTCTGCCCATAATCTGTTAATATTGTTAAAAAAATAATCCTAGACTCTGTTGTATTTCACACAAAGCCTGTATGTAGAAGTCTGCGTGCTTTATATATATATATATATATATATATATATATATATATATATATATATATATATATATATATATGTGTGTATATACATGTATATGCATATGCAACAACGGAGCACCAAGTCTTTTGTTCAAGACATCTTCAGGCTGACTGTATATATATGTATACATATGTATATATATATGTATATATATGTGTATATATATATGTATATATATATATATATATATGTATGTATATATGTATATATATATATATACATATATATATATATATGTATATGTATGTATATATATGTGTATATATATGTGTATATATATGTGTATATATATATGTATATATATGTGTGTATATATATATATATATATATATATATATATATATATATATATATATATATATATATATATATATATATATATATATATATATATATATATATATATATATATATATATAAAGCATGCAGACTTCTACATACAGGCTTTGTGTGAAATACAACAGAGTCTAGGATTGTATTTAGTATCCTGGTGGTCCAGAGGTAGCGTTCCCTGGTCACAGTCGTGGGCCGTGGGTTCGAATCCTGGCGGGTTGAGGTGTTGATTGTATATGTATATATATATATATATACCAATGATAACGAATATTGGAAAAAAGGTAATACTGTTAGCCAATTCCAGTAACGAGCCAAAATTGGGTTGTTTTGCCGTCGAGGAGAATTATCCTTGAGAAACGAAGAAGGGAAAGTTATTGGTGATTAAAATTAAGTACTGTACTGGTTATTGTTTATTTTACGATTGTATCTCAAAAAAAAAACTTTTTACATATTTCTCATTTTGCAATGTCTCCGAGGTATCATGAATTAATAGTATGCTTACTAACAGTTTACGGTAATCGCTCCCACAACAGTTACTTGTTAAGGTAAGCCGGTACTTTTGACAATCCCTCTGTGTGGGAGAATTACGTTGTAATTGGCAAGAGCGACTGGTAAGATCGTCATAATTAATGTCAACATCACAGGAACTGTGTACACCTGGTGTTAGGTCATGATGAAGCCGCGACAGTTTGTCATCAAAACTGACTCTGCATTATTTTACAGTTAGTTAAATTAGCAATTTTCAGGATTACTTTACATATTGTAACAACTATTTGTGGGTTATTGTATATAAAAAAAGATAACGAGTATGGTATTTGGGTAACTGCACACTTTGTCTTGTGCAATATGACATAATTATAAACTGTATAGTACCGTATTCGTTAATATTATATTTTAATGAGTATAAGAGCAAAACAAATATATTGGAAAGCTCTGAGCTCGGTACCGTTGGGGATAATTTTTTTAATTTTACTTAAGCCAACTGTCATGGAAATTATTGAGTTATAAGCAGATCTAGTCTTGCTTTCTTGTTACATGGAAAAAATCCCAAGGACGCCCGTGCTTGTTAACAGACTCAACAGTGCCGAAAGTATTTTTAAGAGAGACGTGACCGACCTTCCAAGCGCCTAACAAGAACGATCAGTGGCGAAAAGAATAAAATAAAGTACAGTATACACTAACGTAAACTAATTGCTATGTCATACAACCGTAATAAAAAAGTAAAGAAGTCGTTCCATCTTAAAGTTTCATTTTCTTTTATTATCGTAACTGAGAAAATGGACGTAAATAGTTTCATGAATGAGTTTAAATGCTGAAATTAAATGACTGAACGAGTTTGAAGGTGTTACCGCAGTATTAAGAAGACGATATAACTTTGAAGGAGGCCAACCTAGCATCACTTTAAATGACTAGTAATAATAATATCAGTGGCGAAGAAGATGGAGGTGACAATGAGCTGAAGATCTCGGGCCATTGTGAGAAGAAGGTAAATCAGGCAAATAAATTATTGGGTCTTATAAGAAGGTCGTTCAGATATCTAGACGGTCCGTCCCTCGTAACGATCTTCAGGAGTGAAGTGCTTCCCCATCTGGAGTACTGTCACCTCATCTGGTCCCCGAGATATGCTAGGGACTGTCAGTTGGTTGAAAATGTTCAAAGGAGGGCCACCAAACTGGTGCCTGCACTTCGGCACCTCAGCTACCCTGAGAGATTGGAGCGCCTGAACTTGCCTAGCTTATACTACAGACGGGCAAGGGGTGACCTAGTTGAGGTTTATAAGCATCTCAGGGGGCACTACTCAGTTGAGTGTCCTTACTTGGAGCTGGCGGACGCTCGCCCCACAAGGAGTCACAGCTCAAGATTGAAGAAGCCGCAAGTCCAGAAAACCGTGAGGGCAAACTTTTTCGGAGTGAGAGTTGTGAACTCTTGGAACAATCTACCAGAGAGTGTTGTGACGGCACCGAGTGTGAGCTCTTTCAAGACCAGACTTGACCAACACTGGAGTGGGTTCAGGTACATTCAGGAGCCGGTGCATGCCCAGTATTTGCCAACAGTGCGTGACAGACGTGACCGATCGCCCGGGCGGCTAGCGAGCCGACCTTTTGGTGAAGAATATAAAGGAAAAGAGACGTGACCGATCGCCCAAGCGGCTAACAAGCCGATCAGTGGCGAAGAGGATAAAAGAATAAGTAACTTGCGAGGGAATATCATAGAAGAAAAGTGTTTGAACTATGAACTACTGATTGCAAAGAAATATTCTCGAGATTCGGGTGACGGCAATAGTAATAATAATATTACTATTGCCACCTATGTATAAAATAATTATCAAGTTAAGTCAGGACAGTTATATTAAAACAATTAACGCTAGATAAAGACATTTTTGTAACAAAGTTCACATGAAGAAACTAGTCAATTCTTACATAATGAATTTTAAGTTTCAGATTTCAAGATTATTAGAAACCCTGGTGTATTGGTTTGTTTAGCCGAGATTAGAATATGTTTGGGTAAGTAGGTAAGGTTAGATTAGGTTTGGTTAGGTTAGATTAAGTTTGGTTAGGTTAGATGAAGTTTGGTTAGGTTAGATCAGGATAAGTTAATATTTGGTTAAGTTGTTTTAGGTTCCACTCTTATTTCACTGGTGATGTTTCTATTTCATTATAGGCAGTCCCCGAATTACGACCGTCCGACACCGTCACCCGCACCTATGAATGGGATCCCAATACATTCAATGCAATTTTTTTAATTAAATCCCATTTTTTCATTATTTTCATCATTATATATTGTTTAACATCACTTTATTTACATTATTTGTTATATATGAGTATTTTATTGTTATTTTGTGTGGGCCTTAACCTAACCTAAACTATGGGTCCAGGAACGTATCCCCGTTGTAAGTTGGGGACGGCCTGTAACCATTTTTAGGCATACAAAAACACTGTTAATCATGCACATGCACATTTTATTAGCTAGACAACATATATAATTTATGGAGATAGAATGTTAGCCTATTTGTAATGACTAATTTCACACATCATCCATGACAATTTAAAAGTTGATAAATATATTTCCTTAATTTTATAGGAAAGACACTTCAAGTGATCTGTTATCATCTATAATCCGCTATTGCTGTGAAGAAACTATGCTTACTTACGTAACTAAGATCTACTGTATATACAGTATTCTTATTGAAAGCATCAGGTGTATGTACTACAGGTATATTGCTCCCGATTCAAATATTGTACAACATTCATTACTGAATTGGGCTGCTGTCATGCTTACATCATTATCCTGTTATCTTTGTAATACATTATGACAGATTGTAGCTTCCCAGTAAGAAATGACTTCCCAAGGATACTTCTGGGTGATAATGTATCATGAAAGCTGCAATAATTTTAATACTGTACAAGTACTAGACGACTGTATTCATATATTGCAGAGCTCTTTAATATACTGTATAATGTAATGCATTTTAATATGTTTTTTACACCACAGTAAATGCTCAAGTTTGGTGTAATTTGCCCCCTGCACTAGATAGAATAACATGTACTAATCTCTCTCTACATTTTCAGGAGTTCAGAGTGCAGACGTATCGCTTATCTTCGATAAGTCTGAGATTGTGGTCAACCCCGATGACCAGCTGAACTTGGAGTGTGGTGTCCGAGGAAAGAGTCGTTACTGCATCTGGGAGAGTGAAAATGGTCAGATTCTCCAGGTAAGCTTCTATGTGACAACCTTTAAGCTTTAAGTGTTATGTTTTGATATATGCATCTAAATTAAGCTATTTAACTCATCTGATGTCATCCCTGATGATTAAGCATCCTTATTCTCTCAACTTGGATAAGCAAATTTTACATCTACAGTAGTTATAAAATGTTATTGACAACTAATAAATCAAGTACATCCTCATGAAAAATGTCGATTACATCATTGGATTTTAATAGAAAGGGGCATGTGTTTGAGTAGACCAAATTGTGAATTTGCTGTAATTCACATACAGGTACAATGAAAGACTTTACTTTTTAGTTTTATCCTCTTCACCACTGATCGGCTCATTAGCCGCTTGGGCATATGAAAACATATGCCAAAGGGCTAAAGTTTTGGTACACTCTGCCAACATATACACCCAGGTCGTTTTCACATTCAATCTCTGCTAATGTGGTTTCTACGTCCTGTTGGGACATGCGATATACAGTGGTCCCTCGGTTAACGAGCACAATCCGTTCCAGAAGGTTGCTCGTTAACCGAAACCATTGTTTCAATGGGTTTTTGGGTAATTGGTTCCAACTCACCGAAAATTGCCTAAATTCAAATTTTTTTTAGAAATTGACACTTACTTTGAGATGTGTATGTAGAAGGTTTGTGGATGATGATGATGGGAATTAGAATGTGGGTGGAGGAGAAGGGAGAAGAGAAGGCTTTGGGGTGTAAGAGAAGTCACCCCATGGTGCCATTTCATCCATAAAATTTTAGTTCTCTTGGTGTAATTCAATATTAATTTCTTTAAATCAACACTGCACTGCTTTATATATTATCTATGTAAAATAAATTTCAAAATGACGAATAATTTGCTTGAAAACACAGAAAAAAAGCGTTTAGTTGAAGAGAGTCTCAAGCAAGATGTTGCCTCCACTGAAAACAGAGAGAGACTAATGCTTGTTTGGTGTGTTAAAAGGCTGGATGGCGCGCCACAAACTAGTGACCTTACCTTCAATTATGTTCAATAATTGTTAAAATGACTAAAAAATTTAATATTAAACTTTTAAAATTATTGAATAGTATAAACTTCTTGATATTTACTAAAATAGTAAGGAATTTAAGCCCTAGAACCGATTACTGTATTGGCGGACCAATACTACAGCTGGTTGACCGCCAAGTGCAAGCGAAAACTTGTTGAGGTCGGCTCGTAAGAAACTCGTTAATCGATGGATTGCTCGTTAACCGAAGTTAAGAATCTTATGGGAGGTAACTCGTTAACCGAAATCTCGTTAACCGAGGCGCTCGTTAACCGAGGGATCACTGTACCTCCTTACTATTGGTAATACCTAGGTGCATCATTTTACATCTTAACAGCCAATCCTTTGACCGCTCATTGAAGCTGACAGAAATCTTTCTGTAGGTAGCTCTTCACAGTCAGTTTGATTCTTAATTTCCTTGAATAACTTAGCATTGTCTGCAAACAATTGTAAGGAGGTATAGCTTCTGGCATGTATTTATGAAATAAACAAAGAACAACGGGCCCAATACGCTGCCCTGTGATACCCTGCTTGTCATGGGTACACATGATGATTTCGTGCTATAAATCACCACACACACTGCTTGCGGTCACGAAGAAAGTGTCCGAGCCATGCTAGGATGTTCCCCCGAATTTCATACCCTTCCAGTTTAATATTTATGGATAGAGTATACAGTATTGTGCAATTTATAATCATGAGTAGTTTGTTCACATGTACAATACATTACTTTGTTAATGATTATTTTCTTTCTCCGGTAGGTTCAAGATGTGTACAGCAATGTGTACGATGGAGTGAGCAAACCACTCAATAGTGAAGGAAATGAGTGTGGTATTGTCATAAACCCTGCTAATATTGAACACCATGGCATGTGGACATGCAAAGTCTTCGTAGTTGGAAAGTCTCTTGTTGGATCCAAGAATGTGATAGTTACCAGTAAGTTATTAAGTGATTGATCGATGTAGCGTTGTAATTTACCTAATTTTAAGTGGAATAAAAACTGTACGATACGGGTCAAAATGTATGGTATTTGATTTGAAATTTTTTTTGCAAAGGCTTTAGAGATTTAAAAAAAATAAAAATGTATTTCCTGATACAGGTATACTGTACTGTATATATTATAAGCTTAGTAAACAAATTATTTAACCAAAATTATTTACACCCTACTGTACCTGTAAAATTTTCATAATTTTCTATGTATTTATTCTTTCCTATTAATTTTATAGGACATGTAGCGGCTAACTTTTTATGGAAATTCCTTAGTTGACTAATAGTTAAACACTGGACCTGGGCTCTACCATGCAATATACGATTGTATTCATTTGCCTGAAATGTAATGCCTAATATTATCTGGGCTCTTATCATTCAATAAACATTTTCTCACTTCATGAATGTACAGTATTACCAGAAACGTTAGCCTTTCATATACAGGTTGAACCTCAGTTTAACGCCACTGGATTTACTGGCAACTCGCATTTAACGGCAAGTTAGCTCTGATAGTTTTCTATGTGTTACTGATAGCTTTTTTAACTTGAGGCTAGGATCTCGACTGGGTTATGTGTTATAAGATGCTTAATATCGTACTTCTATTAAATTGCTCCTTTTCCTGCTGGTGTATAAACTATGCAATTGTAGATACAGTAATCCAATCTCTTGGCAGACAAGGACTGGATGCAAACACCAGTCTGGTAGCCCCCCATTGGACATTTACAATAAATTGGCAGTCTGGTAAATTTCAGAGACTAAGCAGCACTTAGAGAACTCCAAGTGAGGTAGTACATATACTGTGCTACACTTGAAAAGTCTTATAAGACAGGCTATCCAAGTGAGCTTATGACCTTCATATTAGTCCTACTAGTTGTTTGAATAAGGTACAGTACTGTCAACAGTAGTGATAGGAAAGCAAATTAAACAGTACTAAGATTAACTATACTGTACATGTAGTCAGTTCACTTGAAATTTGCAACTGAAGCCTAGGATCAGTTTGTAGCAAGTCATCGGATTGGTTGGCAGATGGACACCAGAAGAATTGCTACACTACTTCAGTAATTAATCCATTGTACTGTATTTATATTCTTGATTATTTTAAGGGATATTAACTTTTCTTTGTTGATCTCTGACAATTTCTGCACTTGGGGAAGCAATAGCTAGCATGTGAAATGCTCTGTTAACAATATCTTTATGAGAACAAGAAAAAGTACAAAATTTCAACGACATCCTGCACTGCATTGCATGACGTCATGTGGTGAAGGGGAGTTTACATTCCAGAACTCATTAATTATATTATGTTTGTGTTCTATGATATATTTATTACCAGTGAATTTCTCTTGCCAATTTTTGTTTCTCCTGGTGTGGAAATTTTCAGACATTAATATAAAAAGCTTAAAATATCATAGTATAAATATGATAGATTAATTAGTAAAGAACTAGTGGCTTTTAGGGTGTTTGTTTTCTAACCTTGCTACAAACTGAGCCTCGGCCTCAGTTGCAAGCTTCGAGTGTAGGCTATAGAACAAAGAAAATGTACTGTAAATTTATAGAATAAGGAAAATCTGAGACTGGTCATATAATTGGAGTGAGGATAGTTGTAGAAATAATAATAGGCAAAATTTAAGGTAGGAGAGGGCAGAGACTGGGTTGTATGAATAATCTGCAAAGATGTTAAAGATCCGCCCCAAATATGTTTCAAATGGAGCACTGAACGGTTGAGGATATTAGTTGGCCTTTGAAGAGATTGCCCTTTGTCAATTCTTTGCTAGTTTGGCCACATTTATACCAGGATTCATATACTGTACAGTAGTCTATCACATTTATGATATATATATATATATATATATATATACATACTGTATATAATTTTTTTTCCAGTTAAACCAACAAGTCCAATCCTTGAAGTAGACAACCAAAGAAGTTTAGATGTGACGAATGAGGATGAGACACCGGTAAAATGCTCGGTGGCAGCAGCCAGACCAGCTGTCATCATCCGTTGGTACTTGGGAGACAGAGATGTTACTGTTTCTGCTGAAACAGAAGAAACTCCAACTGACAAAGGGGTGAGCACATATTTCTGTTTTTTTATTCTTTGATTGTAGGAATGTTAAAGTGGGCTGATACAGTTGATACTCACTGGTTTCAATTGGTATCATACCTCCAACATTGACCAGTTCATTCATTGAATTTCTCTCACATTTAAAAATCTTTATTTTTGTTAATACAGTACAGTCAGTTCTGCTACAACGCGATAGTTGTGTTCTTGTAAAACCTTGCATTGTAGAAATTTGCGCAATAAAAATAACAAGGCTTATGGAGAAAATAGGGTGAGGTGCAGATTACCCGAAATAAAATTTTTTTAGTAGTTAGCCTAAAACAAAGGATAGCAGTCTAAATAAATGTTACATTTATATCTAATAATGAAATCATACAGTAAATGTAACACTTTACCTTGAAAAAATATGACTATAACTTGCTGGGGGAGAAGGGTGATTTTGAGGAGTCATGCAGACAGGAGTTGAGAGTTATCATCATCATCATCAGGTGCAGTTTTGGTTGCATGGTTGGGACGTAAAAAACGTCTCATTCCAGAAGTGGATGGGTGTGGTTCAGTGTCTTCAGACTTCTTCTTGGGGATTGTCTTAAAAAAGACGTTTTATGTTTGCTGCTGTGTTCATAAGGTGTCAAAAAAGTTGCCAGAAAAGATTTAACACTTAAAACGTTCGAGTGGAATCGCGTTACAGCCAACACGCATTCGCGTTTTACAAATATCATTCTTCTATTCATCAATCGCGTATTAGCCAATTCGCTTTGAAAAAACACGCGTTGTAGCAGAAATGAGTGTACTGTATACCTCAAGAGAAGGGTGGTGATTGCTCTTATGCATACTGTACTGTAGGCCTTCAAGTTTAGAAACTTTGTTTTAAATAAGCAATTTTAACTTTTGATTGAGCTTGTATATTGGACCTTTCTGTTTCAAAGTAAATGAATCTACCTGAAATAAAGTACTGTATGCTGTGGTATCATGAATTAATGGATTGGTCCAATATGATTCTCTGTAAGAAGTCGAGTAAATGATATTATGGTGTCTATGTACAACTATCTGTGCAGGTGGGGGCCGATATGCTCCAAAATTTTACGTTTGACTAGTGACAGCCCTCATATACCAAAATTTATCGTCCATGGTCTCTTATTGTTTCCCACAAAGTATGCACAGATAGTTGTTTTAGTTACTGAACATACTTATCTTTAAGAAACAAAACAATAGATTTGCCCTTGACATTGTAATAAGTAAAACAAAATTGTCAAGAATTTATAGATACTGTACTCATTTTCTTCACTAAGTTGATTATTGTCACATTAGGGCATAGACTAATTAAAAAAAAGTTTTTTTTTAAAGTGGAATGAATTAGGATAGAGGGTGGGATCAACAATTCTGACTGATGGAAGCTCATTGAAAGTGTATAGTACTTTACTTTTCAATGAATAATTTGATGCATTTGACAAAAGTGTAAACAAGTTTGTGGAACTAAGTGAGCAAAGATAAGGAAGTACAGTATTGTTTTTCGAATTTTTAGAAGAAAATGGTACTGTAGTTCTAATAATTACCATTCACATGCCACCCTTGGCATAGTCATTTGAATTTTCTTTCACCCAAATGAGTACTCACAGGCTTAGCAAACATTATTTTTCTTCAGGGAATCTACAAGAGTGTGTCAACTTTAAGGCGGACATTCCAGCCAACAGAAAATGGACAACTTTTGATGTGTAGTGTGACTCACAAGACACTTTATTCACCAGAAAACACTAGTATTCCTCTGAATGTTGTTTGTGAGTACTATACTGAATTTTTAATAGATAGCTACTTAATAATGAACAATGCTGTGCTGAAATACATATAGAGTTATGTTATAATTATGTCCGCCCTTCCCCAGTGGTAGAGTGGTAACAAAAAACAATTATTTTCAGTCAAACCTGTTGAGAAGCCCATCAGTACCTTCTACCAGATCAGTCCTGGCAGTGATTATGAAGTGAAGCTCAATTTTTCTGCCAACCCAAAACCCATAAATAAAGAATGGAGATATGGTGACAGCTTTGAGGAAATGGAAGGCTCCCTCGGCATTCCTGACACTGATGGCCACTACACCACAGATATTGAGGCAAGTCATTGAAACTCTTCAACAACACACACACACACACACCGAACAACTGTGGTCTGTTGGTTAATTCACAGGTCTAACACCATTGTCAAGTTTCCTATTGAATAATGTACAAATACAGTACAGTACTGTAGAACCTTTTAAGTTCACACACCTATGGCACTGACCATTTTTGCATTTCTTTTGACAGTTACAGTATTTAACATCCTTGCCAGGTTTTAACATACTGGGTAATGGCCAGTGTGGATTAAAGATTGGCTTAACATGGTTGTAATAGACTTTAGGACCATAACACTAAATATCCATTACTTTACTGTATTTATAACACAGTATAGTACATGTATTTATATTTGGACCCAGTAGCCACAAACATATTAACACACGCATAAAACACTTTATGATAACAAACAAGGAACCAGTGACTTTCAGAGCACAATTTGGGTATACATGTATGCTGTATTATTTGGTTGGATTACAAAATAAAATATTGTACAGTAGACCCTCAGGATACTGGACTAGTTGGGGGAGACCATAGTTTCTAAAGCCGAAAATTCGTTAAAACCAATTTCTCTAATTATTTCAAACTGGGAGGGGGGGGAGGGATTGTCCGATAGGATTAGGGAGTCTGTTATAACCGAGTTCCATTATAAGTGTATATGGTGTTTGTGACACCAAGGGTTTACTGCACTGTATAAGTACAGTATGTAATTTGTTGTTAACATCCAAAGGACTGGACCATTTTCAGCAGGGGTTTTCAATTAATTTTGGCCATTACCCTGAAGCAGACATAACGACAATGCTCAGTACCCATTTTTTTTTACTGTTTTAATCGTCAATTGTACTTTTCCATAAAATGAAGTGGAAATACTGTTCTAGGAACCATATCTGTATCATCTTCACCAACAGTTTGGATTGGATTATTGTTTTTTATAATCATGTATTCATTTGTTGTATTCCTCCCAAAATGTCAAATTACCCTCACATGGGTAATTTAGGTCTATAATTGCAAACCCATGACTTAAGGGATATGGATGAAGACATGGATATTCACACAGCTCAGAGAACTCTTCATCATGAGTATACCAAATGAACATTATCATCTCCATTTTATGGCCATTTCCCATGCTTGTGTTGGTTAGCCATGATTGCCAGATGGCATGGTGTCCCAGTTGCCACCGGCCAAATTTGAAGCAAGTTTTACAGCTGAATGTCCTTCCTATCACCAGCTTACTTTTACAGAATGGATACTGAGCATTATATGTAGGAATGACAATCTGGCAATGTAGTGTCACAACTCACTGAGGTACTGCCAATCCTACTTAATTAACCAAACTAAGAAATATCCCTAAGAATGCAGTCGTGAGAGACAATAGTGCTACCACTGTGCCACTTGCTTGACTCTCCCACCCCATGTGAACCATGAACCATTGTCTCTTGGTGAACATACAGTACATTATTCTCAGCATTCAAATTTAGATCAAAGAAGACAATATAGAAACTATATTTTTCATAGATGTGTTGGTTTTCAGATACAATATATGCAAGTGTTTTTGATTAATTATTGTTTTCATCTATATTTTACAGGACCTAGGCAATGGCTTGTATACTGCAAAACTCCTTGTCTCTGGCTTTACAGAAGCTGATGCTAACAAACGTTACCTGTTAGTGGTAGAAAATCAATATGGAGAAACCCAGTACAAAGTCAACCTCTCGATCCACGATGCTCCTCAAGGTAAATCTACAAAGCGACAAAAAATCATTGGTATTTTAAGTTCTGTACTTCCATGTTTTAAAGGATTTTGCACTGACTTTAGGTAATTCATTCTTCTCCTGGAATGAGTTTTGTAAAGTCTAGATTAGAAAAAAATACTAAAATGAGTAACAGAAAACTGATCTGTGCTACAGACATCCAGTGGAAATTTGTGGTGTTTGAATGTTAAATGTGTTGTTCGTACATTCTGCATCATCACCATCCAATGTCCTTGCTTTGTTTCTGGTGAATTTTTGGTGTTCTTAAGTTTGCATCTTGGTAACCTCCTTTTGCATGTGCAGGGTTTTATAGAGTTCAGTGAGGAGGCAGTTTACCAGAGTCTTTAATATGTTGAATATACAATATAATGCTCTTGGTTTTCGCAGTGACATTGATTTGCTGTATTAAATGTTCTTGCCCCCTTTTAATCCCCCCCCCCCATCCCCTTTTCCTTTTCTAACCAGAACAGAGTAAGTACGCTGTTACTTTAGTGTTCTTGCCCATACCTTTATTTGCCTTGCATGAGTTGATATGAACTGCCAAAATACAATGCAGTTTTTTGTCTCTTAATGTTGCTTGGCATCATTCATGTAAGGACAAGGCAAGAATGCTTAAATACAGAATTTTTCAGTATGATGCAAAGATTGCAGTGGTAACCAAGACAAACTAGAATCTTTATTTAGAATGACTGCACTTGCACTTATTGGCTGAATTAATACAAATACATTTGACACCTAATTGGCAATAATTTCAAACTAATGTCTTATTAGACGCTTACTCAACATATATTAACACTCACATTTTCTGGGACATCTTTTTAAGATTCACACGTAACAGAATCAGATGAGGTTGGGAGACTGAACTCAGGCGTTGACTGTCATTGCTTAGCAGAGGGTACCATACATATAAAATGAATCGAGCAACTGACACGGGTGTCTGGTTATTTCTCTGGCTACTGTCACAGTGGTTGATTATTGTAAAGGATTGAAATTTTTGCTTGGATACTTCAGTACAGTGCACAGTTTCAATGACTGCACTCGTCACTTGAGAACAGAATCCAAATTTAATGATCAATATTTTGTACTTGATATTAGAAGACTTAAGGAAATTACACAATGAATGTTGGGGATACAAAGAGTACAGTACTTGTTTGTTATACAGAATACAGTTTATTCATTCTCTTGAGTTTTTCTACTAAATAAATACAAAACATCTGAGTCGGTTGAAGACACAATAAAATTTAACATACCCACTCTGTTTCTTTTATCTCTTTCATCGCCTTGACACTTGCTACAACCGAAAGTTCGATTTTGTCTGACTGTGCGTCCATTGTGGTGTAACCTCAGTGTGTATCTTGTCTCTCCCCTAGATGATGACTCTGAAACAAGCAACCATGACAAAATCCCACCCACAGAGTTATCAGTGTCTGAAGGTATTGTTTTCGATGATGAGACGGAGTCAAGTAAGTCAGGGTGCTAATGTCCCTCTTGCCGAGCCAGTTGCCTTGTTCTCTCGTAATCTTGCTACTTCTGCCACTCTCGGACACTGTTCTTGCTATGTTAACTAACAGTCTCTACATTACCCAAGGACCCAATTACTAACAACTCTTTAAAGGATATCTTGACATACCAGTTGACAAGCTGTGGAGAAGAAGACTTAATAAGTTTTGGGGATCCTCTGGGATTCATTCCCATGGAGGGGTGAGAGATACACTTCTTTTTTTATACTTCTTCCGACATTTAGACCAGAAGTAGTGCATGGAGCATGCATTGTGTATTTTTTTATTTTTTTTATTAGTATTACATATGTTTTCAAGTAATATTCTTACTTGAAAACATCTGAAAATTCACTACTTCCTGCCTATTTCAAGTTGTGACTGTTGTATCGTCAACAGCTGTCAACAAATTTCGACATCATTTTATATACTATAATGTGAGACACACGATGGCAAAAAGACTGAACAAAGGTTTCATTACGTCGGGACTGGTTTAAGGAACAGGGCAACACCGTTGAACACTTTCGTAGCCAATAATTTCCCAGACTACTTGATATCTCGTTTGTATCAGAGTCCAACCATCTATGGTGGGTAATTGTTGCATGATTTGCATTGCATGTTTCTTACAATAATTTTCTTCTTTCCATCTGGCATGCCTGTTTTCATCTATAAATGCAGTAAGTTTATTTCCTTAATTAAAAACATAAATCTGTATTTAGCTTTTGCCATGCTTAAGTATTTTGTGAAGTTAGCACCGACTTACGTTGTCATTTATGTTTTTTGGTTTATATATGTTTTCAAAATCAATGTTTTATTCAGTATACAGTATTATGGCTAAGATGTATCAGATAAGGTTACCATAGACAGGTGTAGTACAGTACCTTCATTTTTCTTGTCAAATAGCTGATGAAGTTATATTAAAACTATTTTTTATTTTTTCTCTAAACCTCAGACACTCTGAGTGGAGGAGCAGTCGCAGGCATTGTAATTGTTCTACTGATAGTCATAGCAGCAGTGGGTGCTGCAGGATACGCACGGTACCGACAGATGTTCTGCTTTGGTAAGTACTCTTGAACTAGATGTTGCTTGCGTAGATGTCTGTGTATGCTTTCTTCTAGTACCTTCGACTCTTACCGCTGATTCTTCTAGTGGTTTTCACATGGTGAGATCCCTGACATTTACAACATAACTGTGTATTTTCAAAAAATTTAAATTGTTAATCAAACTCTTTGCTGCAGTCAACCCTGCTACTTTATAGTATAATATGAAGTAGCTTTCTTGGAAACTAAAGTTTGGCTTTTTTAATTATATTAGTTAATGGTATTTAATTAGAAATTACTTGCACCTCTTACAAGAGCTTAATTTTATTACATCCCGCTTGCTTGTGTGCTGAAGTTCAATTTATAGTTTACCAATATAAGAAATAATCTCGGTACACTGTACTGTCACTGATCAAGAACAGGGCTGGTTTTGGTTATTCGTTCTCAGTTTATTGTATAAGCCTCGGTGCACTTACTCTTATCATAACCTGACTGGAATAATTCGTAAATCACTATTTATCAGGTTAGCAGCCTTCATTAATTATTTGCTCACACTATTATCAACACACTTGACAACAGTCTTAAGCATTAGACTTTTATCTTTGCCTATTGTAACAATGCTTAACTAAGTTTATTGAGAAACTGTAAAGGTATGTTAAGGGATGAGCTAATTTGTGAGAAGTAGGTTAGGTTGAGTGAGACAGCGTTGGGGAATGACAAACAGGACAAGGTGACAGTAGTAAACTCAACCAGTAAATAGGATAAGGTGTTCACACTGTTAGGAAAGTGAATAAATACTCGCTGTTAGAGGAAAACAAGCACAAAGCAGACAGAGGTAGTCACACTACTGGGTATTTTAGGAAATTAGGCATATGTAGTAAATAGGAGGAGATGGTATTACAGTAGCTATCACATTCTTAATCAGATGTGCAGAAAAATGCTGGTGGAGATGGCTAAGAGGGTGATAGGGAGATGTACAAACAAATCTTGGTGAAACTAGGAAACTCAAACATGAGGATAAGATAGTAAAGAATTCTATCAAACTGAGGAAAATTACACTATAGCAGAGAGGATAAACATGAGCACTATTTTTTTTAAGATTAAGTGATGCAGAAGTAGATAGAGAAAATTAAGGATTTAATGCTGGCGAATAAGTAGAAGATAATGGGCCATCCAAGAAAACACTGAAATATGACAAACATGGGAGTTGTAGATCTTGCGATGCGGAAACAAGGGACTATCCCAACACAAGAAAAACTCGAGCTACCTATATTTCAATCTTTGGTTCAGTAGGATCAAAGAAAACTGAGCACTGACATTAATGCCCCATTTTAGATTTTGGTATACAAATGCAGACATGTTATCTAATGAATTATTTGGACTTAAGTTCTGTATCCAACAACCAAAGAAATTACCAGTCATAATTGACATTGTGGTGGTGAAAATCTAAACCCTTAATATAGATAATTAGTGGCAGAAATTAGAATTGATGGATACAACACCCACACATCAGACTTATAGTAAGTGTAATGGTTACAGTTCTTTTTCATGGAAATTATATTATTTGTACATTAATGTGCAAAACTGTGTGAAACCAACTAGAAAGATTGTCAAGCATTACAACTATAGCAAAAATATTTATGCCATTATTTAAATAGAAGTACTGTCACTACTGTAGAGCCTTGACATTTATTTCATTGTTTTTTTTTTAAGGCCAGCTGCTTAAGGGAGTTAGACAAATAATTGTGTAGTCAAGGTTGTGTAGGAAGATCCACACACACAGATTTAGGTAAAAAGGGTGATATGTATCATCCTGATGCTGACCATGTTTAAGCCAGCAGTCAGATAAGAAAAGATTAGCCAATCAGAATGGCTAACAAAACCTAGCAGATGATGTAGAGGTTACGCTGATGTTCATTACAAAGAAGGACCTGGAAACCAAATTTCAGGATTCCTTGATCATATCTGAAAAGGCTATAAAGCAGGCCGTATTTTGATGTCTGCCACAGCCAAGCAGTGATAAGACAGCAAACGAATGCTTGGACAAGTTATCAACAGAGGCCACATAAAAATGGGTCGCTTATTGATGGTGGGTAGTTTTAATTACCATAAGATAAGTTGGATTTCATGGTTGACAGACATCAGGGGATACTTTAGAAACTCGCAAGTTTAGATTTACACAGCCTCTGAGGAACAATATTTTATATCAATAAGTTTAAGAAAACGCTAATTGCAGAGCTACAAGTGAACTTAACTTGCTATACCTAACCTTAATGAGGAGGGAATGATATTGAATCTGGAGGATTATTCACACTGGGAAATGAGTGACAACTGTCCAGTTGTTTTCAATGTCAGTCATTGCAATTTTGAAAGTCGGACTGGTTTGTACGGTCAATAAAATAAGTCACTCTAATAGAAACTGAGCCACAACAACCAACTGACGTCGGTAACCACAGGTACAGTATACGTTTACAGTTTTGGCACGCTGTTTCATACTGTTACACACAGCAGGGTGATGACACTTTTTTATTGACTGTACATGTGTCTGAAAGTTATTGTACCCAGGTGAATGATCACCAGATCAGATGTATCATCTGGTTTGCTGATGAACAGCGGTTTGTTGTCATTGGTCACACTGGGTCTTTTTCCTTCTTAGTTCTTGTTGGTGGGTGACTGTGGGGTGGGGGGGATTTGTACATATTTCAGCCACTTAGCACCACTATACAGTACTGGTAAGACTTTTCTGTGACATAAAGTACCCAGTGAAAAATTGTATTACTCGCAAGCATAGTTATCATACAAATAGAGTACAGTATTGTACCGAACTTGCCAGTTGCTTGAATTGAGCTTGTGTGAAAAGAGTTTTATACTTCTCACAGCAGTGTTTGCATTTGAGAACAAGGTCATCTGCCACTCTTGTTGTTATATTTAGTTCTGGTCTTATTAGTTAAGTGATAGAAAGAAATTAAGGTAGTCATGCTATCAAACATAATTTAAAGATCATATTTGGAGTATGGTAGCAAAGAAAGCACAAGGGGGTTGTTGGGAATTTTACTTTTGACGTGTATTTTGACCTTACAACTTCTACTCATGCTTCCCTTGCTATCATACTTCCATCTGTCCAAATGAGCCCTGTTCAAAAATCCTATTGCTAGTCTTCATTTTTTAATTCTTTATAGTCTATTGAATGGCATATCTACAGCGTTATGGACTTTTCTCTAGGGGTTCACATTCAACAGACCATCGAATTAACGAATTTTAATATTTATATAGTCTGCTTTTTAGTTTTTCACTGTACAGTACGTCATTAGAGTGTTGAATTCTTCTTGGAGATATTCTTCTTTTCCATATTCACAGTTAATACAACAAAATTGGAGAAATAGTAAGCAAAAATCGCGTTACAGCAAACAAGCGTTCGCGTTTTACAAATATCGTTCCTCTATTCATAAATCGCGTTAGAGCCAATTCGCGCTGTCAAAACACGCGTTATAGGAGAACTCGCTGTATATGCAAAGGGCCTTAGTCAGTGTAAGAATAAGTATGTAAAAAATGCACAAGTGACATTAGTAATTTAAAAAACACAATCTCGGTAGTATGAAAAGAAAAATACAGTATAATGATATAGTACAGTACTGCAGTTTTTTAATTAATATGGGAATATCATCAGGTGTTTTTGTACAGTTGTAATTATCTGGAATAATACAGACTGGTGAACACAGAGCCACATGCATATACCTGTTTGGTTTGGGATTCAACTTGGCTAACAATTATTGCCTGGAGAACTTATTAGTGGGTGCAGTAACATGATATGTACAGTTTGTCCCTGTAATTTCCTCTCGGCTCTATTTCAGAGAAAAGTTGTATTTTCATCCTTTGTATAATACTTGGAGGGCTCTGTGGCTGCAATTTCTGCATTACTTGTATTAGTATTATTAAGTGAGGCTTTTGTAATTTTCCGTTAGCAATCCAATTTGCAGTTCAGCCTGCAGTTGTTTGTAAAGTTAGGATCCAGGCTCACCATGGACTCATAACTCGGCCTTTCATTTGGGATAATATTTTTTTAACTATATGACTACCTGGTTCATATGGTAGGAATATCTGGATTGAGGTTGAACATTGGGTCATAAAAGTGGGACCAATAATATTGCTGATATTGAATGCTAAGGAGTGGTATAGTGACCAGCACTACATTGCACCACCCTCATTTTCCTTAACTGTACAATTAGTTATCCATTCTCTGATGGGTGGACTGGGAGTGTTTCTGGTACAAGCTAGCATCTCTTAGGACAGGAGTAGATTATAACATCCACTTAGCCACTGCACTCCATATAGGGACAAAGAAAGTCCTATTAAGAATGTCTGATATTCTTGTTACAAAGTAACATACCTTCGCACAATAATTACGCCATTCAGTAATTATTGAACACGTTCTTTTGTTTCACTTTTTATTTATGCTACGAGACAGTTATGTCTTCCAATGAAAGGGATTTAACTCCTAGGTCCTCAACACTTAGGGCACACACATTATGTTTTTACAGTACCAGGTTGACCACCCCTTATCCGAAACCCTCTGAAAACCGAAAGTTTTTTGTGGAGCAAAACTTTTTTTATATATAAACAGGGATTAGCCCACCCGGGCACAGGTCACTGACCCACATCGGGGCCTGGGGGCGAAAATGTAATAATAATAATAATTCATAGTAAATAAAATTTATAATAAAAAATACACAAAAATAAAATAATAACAATACTACTGTACTAATAATAATAAAATAATAATAAAGTAATAATAAAATTAATAATGATAATAATAATAACAATAATACTGTAATAATAAACTAATACTACTACTAATAATAATAATAAATACAAGAATGAAAAAAAAAGATCAAAAGTGAGAAACACTACCTAGACCTATGAATTATTTTCGTCCCCCAGGCCCCAATGTGGGTCAGTGACCTGTGCCCAGGTAGGCTGATTCCTGAGAAAACCCTAACCTAACCATTCCGAAATCCGAAAT